GACATGATCAGGTAGGTGTTAATGTTTGGACCTTGCTGCATCCAGCTTGATATGTACTTATTTGCAAGTCTGAACATAATGTTAGTGATGCACAGGTTATGCTTGGCACATTTGCCGGAAGCAGCAAACTGCTGCTAGTTTGTTTTCCCATCCCATGTCTCCCAAGGACTCCATCCCAATATTGCTGTCTGTTTCCACCCTAGCACTAAAGCCATCCAGAATAACTAGTTTGCCACTAGCAGGTCCCCGTAGAAAGCTTCCTTGTTTTTGTCTGGACTTGGGAGAGTTGGTGTGTAGGCATAACAATTATGATATACCAGGCTTGCGGAGAGGAAAGCAGAACTTCATGATGCATTCATTTATTCCAGTGGGTAAAGAAGGAATGCTGTTCAGCAAAGCAGTTTTGATTGCAAAACCTACTCCATGAATCCTTTCCCTTTGGTTTCCCTTTCCAAAAAATGTATATCCACTTACTACTTCCTGTACTGAAGCCTCATCTGCAAGCCTGGTCTCACTAAGTGCAGCAAAGTGAAGAGGGCTGCTTATCAAGCAAAGTATGCACATTTCAAATGAGTTTTGATTCTTTTTTTCCAGATTCTCAACTACTAGGGGGAGATGATCTACTAGCTGCGGTTAACTAGCCAAATGTTATTGTGGAGCAGGCAATTTTTAGAGTGCCTTTCTAACTCTACTCCTCATGCAAGGATGGGCAATGCTATCTTAGAAGGGCTGCCGAGACACCCTGGATGCTGCTGAATATCTCTGATTCCCCGGGTACAGAGACAAACAACCACTGGTCCGAGAATCGTCCACATGCAGATTTGTGATTACAATTGTCAGTGGCCATCTCCACCTGTTGCTTTGCCATTCCTCAAGCCGCAGGACTCAAGGAATTAAATTAGGACTGATAGGATTTGCAGATGACTTGTAGATGCATTGCACTACAGAAAACTGTGCACAATTGAGCTTTAAGTAGAACAGCCATTGCATAGGGATAGTGCCACTCTTGGCAGAAGAGACCTTGATCCAGCGGCCTGGAGAAACATTATGGTTGGAGACTTCTCCTGCTACAGTGGATGACCAGGTTGTCAGTGTCTTATTAGGCTCTTAGTGCTCCACAACACTGCTGGGCCTCTCTGCTTGACCAATGGTTGATCAGTCTTCTCTACTCAATCTGCTAAGGTTAGTATTCACACAAGTGGATAGACAAATCTAGTATCTCACAGAAAATTGAAGAACCATCAGCTACCCTCACCTGGTTTTGCCTGTCTGATGAGATGGTTTACCAGGATGTGGCCACTGCACATATTACAGCTACTTGGAGCCACAGGTGAGACCTGAGTGCCAAGTGGGGACCAAAGGTGAACAGGTAGTCCTGAAAAGTGTGGCCTGGTCCCTCCACCAGAGGTGTTACACTTCCCTGAACACCCTATACCAGTGGTGGCGAACCTATGGCACGGGTGCCAGAGGCGGCACTCGGAGCCCTCTCTGTGGGCACACGTGCCATTGCCCCAGCCTTGCCTCCCCCACAACCCTCTCCTCTCCAGCAGCCCCCCTGAAGGAGAGTCGTCCTCGAGCGTGGCCCACACAGAGCAGCGCAGCCAAGGACATGGCAGCCAGGCAGCGTAGACAAGACTCTGTCCTCACACCCCATCATGCAGTTGATGCTGCAGGGCGTGGGCAGAAGGTGTGGCCTCCATAGCATTGCTGGGCTGCCTGGGCGATCTGCGGCAGGCCCTGGAGGTGGTGAGTGGTCCTGTGGGCAGGCGGGGGGGATGGGGGGCAGAGCGGGGGCGGGGCAGGGGGTGGAGCGGGGGCAAAGCCAGTTTTTGGGCACTCGGTCTCTAAAAGGTTCGCCATCACTGCCCTATACACCCCACTTGACAAGTAGTATACTATCCCAATCTATCAAACACCCCATAAACCCCACTTGACAACTTAATGTACTATCCCAATCTTTTAAATTCCAGTTGAAAAATGAAAGAAAAGATCATCCAAGGCAAATGAAAAACTCTTCACTTCATCTTTTTTTTCCCTTAGTACTACCCAAATTATTTTTCTTTCATATTTGCCAGTGGTTACAGTTCCATTCCTGGTATTTGCAGAAAATAGACACTCAGAAATATACATTCACTTAGATAAAACAATATCTATTTTCATCAAAGAATAAACCAAAACAATCACCTACTAAATTTTTTGATATGTAGTAGTGTTTATTAAATATTTTGCTCTGATCCATAAGTATCAGGCGGAAAGGCCAGATTCAAATTTCACCTCCCCACTTTTAGAATTAGTCAAGAAGTACATTTTAAAAAGGCAAGAAAATCCAGCCAGTCTATGTAATTCAGTCTGGATATGAAGTGTTACATTTTTTTTTTTACAAATTTCATCCCATGTGATCATTTTTGTAGATTAGTTGCAAAAGAATCCTTCTAGCCAATGATGTGAGATTATTCTAAACAGAAGCCAAGATTCCGATAATGAGTTATTGAGCATTTTTGCTCATTATCAGCAGGAGTGAACATGGAAATCAAATGGCAATAGTACCCTCTAGTGGTTATAAACTATAACATATGCTAGTTTTTCATTTTCAAAACTCAATTTTTAGTCTGCTAGTCGTATGTCTACATAACTGCGTAGTGTCCCATCTTGGAAAGGCTTCATTAATTTCAAAAGGATAGCCAATAGTTGCCTTCATTCCTTGGCTTGTATGAATAGGCCTATGTAAAATAGGACACAAATATAAAGAAATTCATGCTGATGGGTGTATACAAAATCCATGCACCAATACAAAGTGTTTTCTTATTTATTTTATTTAGAAGATTACTAATTCTTTTTTAGAAAACAACATGCCACTTAACTTTAAAACCAAGAAAATAAAATCATAATCAACAATATTCACAGATATATCTAGTAAAAGACTGATTCAGGTATAATACAATATAAATAGAAAAACCCTTGCTGCCTGCAGGAAAGACTTCAATGAGGTGATCAGGAAATGTTTGTAAAATACATATCCCAAGCTGGGGCAGAGAGATACTCTATTAAGAAGGCCAGTAACCTGGAATCTACATACATACATACTCATACTGTTCCATTTTGAAGTAAGCAACTTTTGTGCAAAGTACAGAAAAGTATGAAACAGGAATTCAAAGGAATTGACTCATAAAGCAAGAAAGAGAAAAAGAGAGAAAAGAGAAAAATTCTTTCTAAATGTAATTTATACCAAGTTATTCACTATATCCCTCTAGGTTTTTTTATACTTCTACCACCTCCACAGATTCAAAGTTCCTTTTGTCCCTTAAATTTCTTTTTGAGGTTCTCAACTCCATCTACTAGGACATTTGTGTTAGGACATTTCCTAACAGTGAGAATAATCTAATCACATTATTTTTAGTCTTCCCCTTTCTCTCAGTTGTCATACAATCTGCATTCAGTCTCTCCATGTGACCAAACCATTTCAAAATACTTCTTTCAAAATGACATTTCCATTTTGTATTCAACCAATATTCACTCAACCTCCATTCATTCTTGACACTATCACGTCTTTGTAAGATCTTGATGCTCTAGGACAGGAATGTCAAACTGCCAGTCCACAGGCCGGTTGCATCATACGGAGGCCGCACCCACCCCAGCTCCGGCAATGCAAAAAAAGTTGCGATACATTGCGACACATCACATGACGCGGCGAGTTTGACACCCATGCTCTAGGACTACATTGGCTATTTTGGCAGGTCAGCACACTCCTGGCTCATACTTAAGGAGCCCACTAAGACCCCTAGATCCCTCTCACAGGTACCATCTATTCTGAGCCAGGTACCATCTATTCTGTATCTATACATTTGGTTCTTCTTGCCTATGTGCATGCAGGACCTTTGTTTTTCTCACTACTGAACTGCTTCTTGTTGGATAGGGTCCAATGTTCAAGTCTATCAAGATCCTTCTGAATCTTGAATCTATGTTCCAAAGTGTTCACAATTCCAACCAGCTAAGTGTCATCAGCAACTTTGATGATTTCCTCTTCTATCCCCTCATCTAAATCATTTTTGAAGATGTTGAGCACTGAGCCTAAGGCAGAATTTTGAGGTGCCCCTACCTGGTAGGCATGCATTTCTATTTCCTTGAGATGAATTTGATACAATATGGGTGACAAAATACTTTTCATCAGATCTGAATAGGAGGTGGAATGATGTTTCCAAAATGTTCTCCCTAGCGCTAAAAAAAAGGCCAGCCTAAGCTCACACCTCACCAGTCTGCTCTCCTGATTTTTTCCTGACGGGAAAGGTCGCAGTTCGCCTTTAAGGTGGCGTTGCCATGCTATTGGACTGAGTAGCAGTTACTTTTTATTTTTTAAAAAAAGGAATTAGATTTCGCATGTTAAAAGCGCAGAGGCAGAATAGCTAAATCTCTCTCAAGAGAGAGCCCTGAAGGCCCATCTATTCCTGCAGCCGGCCTGGTGTAGTTTGATTATGTTTTAGTGGGGGTTTTGTATGGGGTATTTTAGAGCAGGCCTGTTATTTAATTTGATTTTAGAACACAAACTTGCATATATTTATCGTGGTTTTTATTATCGCCTGTTCACCGCCCTGAGTCCCGTAAGGGAGATAGGGCGGTATATAAATTCAATTAATAATAATAATAATAATAATAATAATAATAATAATAATAATAATAATAATAATAATAATAATAATAATAATAATAATAATAATATCATCCCCAAATGCAGTTTGCCGCTCTCCATTGGAAAGGTAGGATGGCCCAGCGCCAAAAACACAAGGCAACTCGGGAAGCAGCGTCTTTGCCTGCAGGAGGCAAACTTCTCAGCGGCGTCCCCTCCGCAACTAGGGAGGAAAGCGGACGAAGCGTCGACGTAGCGGGGTGGGTGGGTGTTGACACCGGTTGTTCCCGCGACAAGGCCGCAATGGCTGACGGAGGGAAACGGGAGAGGCCGAAAGAGGCTCGCCGCTGCAGTCGCTATTTTTGCACGGCGGGACGCGGGATGGAGCCCTTCCTCATCGAAGAAGTACAGGCTCGTTTGGGCGCCACTCAGGTGAGCGGCTCCGCACTCCTTAGGCCGCGCCGGGCTCGGTCGATAAAATAACGGCTTAGTAGCTTGCTTTCCTCGCCGCAAAAACTATACGGAGAGGGAGGCAGCGATAGCGGTCTTGCATTGAGGTAAAGCCTGGGTCAATTGCTCGTTTGTACGCTCGCTGCTTCGGAAGACCAGTTCGTGCACTTAGCCATGTTTATTCAAAAGTCGTACCGCGCGGTTTGGCGTCCCAATGTAATTCTCCGTACATTTCTCGTGCCGCGACTAAGTTTAAACTCATCTGCACCTCTGTTACATCTTACCACATCTCACTTCAATCTGGTGTTAGAAATCCCATTTTTAACTGCTTGTGACATTTAGGCCGAGTTTATAATCATTTGCGTTACTGGTCCACATGTGCAAAATCTGGGTTCTAAAATCATGAGTTCTTGAGCTTTTAATAATTAAGTGGCAGATGTCAGGGAAAGGAACTTAGATATTCCTTTATGCAGGCAACCTGGAATACCTGGATGTATTGTAGCTATTGAAAGGGCAAGAGTTCTTTGCTGGAATAAATGACAACAAACAAAGTGGTCTGTGATATTTGTGTAGGTAAACTGCAAGTTTTTGATTAGTTCAGTGAGAACTATTGTTGCTTTCAGGGATGAAGATTCTTCTCTTATCTATGTAACAGTGTGCATCTATATGATAATTTATTTTTTGCTTGCACCAAGAGATAATTTCATCTTTCTAGTGTAACAGCTACATTAGTGATCACCATTGCTTGGTTTGTTGTCTAAGACTTAAATTGAGTTTAGAATAATTTTCAGTAGGAAAAACTATCTACCTTTTAATTTCCCATATTATGGGACTTATCACAGGATGCTTGAAAAATAAGAAACCAGTCTATAGCAAGTGATAAAAAACGTTTTTATTAAATCCAGGCATTTGCGGAGGGCCTGACTTAGAGCTTTATGCATGTTCAGTTCTGTGCATATTAGTTCAGAACTAACTTCTGTGTAACAACAGTTTTACTCCATAGAGAATATTATACAGAATTTCAAAAACTGTAGGGATTTTTTCATGTGGAACATTCCATAATGTGAGCCCTCATCTCACAGTTATAGGCTGTTGCTTTGTATTGTGCCAGCAGTCAGATAATTGTTCAACAAGTAGCACTTATGATTATCAAAGAGAAAAGAATGTGCAACCTAATTATATTCTATATTAAAAGGGAACACATTATCTTTTCAAAATCTAAGTTTCTCAAGGCAAGGAACAACACTTTAAGAAAAGATACTTAGAAATTTGAAGGAGAAGGGCAGTCTAGAAATGCAATATATATAAATTGGTGATAACAGGCAGTAAAACAATACTATTAATAAATAATAAAATGAATAGTTGCTGCCAATATTTGAAAAAGAGATGTCTTATGTCAGTGGTGGCGAACCTATGGCACAGGTGCCAGAGGCGGCACTCAGAGCCCTCTCTGTGGGCACGCATCCCAGTCCTAGGCCTTCAGCTGGGTTTTATAAAACCTTTTTGCTTTAGGCCGCCGCCGCCGTATGCAAAAAAAAAAAGGTTCAATCAGCCAATTTCAACTTCTTGTGGAAAAAAAAAAGATCTTGCAAAGTTGGAATTGATTGAACTTTTTAGTCCCACCCAGTCTGCCGTTACCACAGCAGCCACGCCCAGCCAATGGGCCACGCCCAGCCAATGGGCCATACCCACCCGGCACTCGACGATGCATAAGTGGGTTTTGGGTTGCAGTTTGGGCACTCAGTCTCTAAAAGGTTCGCCATCACTGTCTTATGTCAAGTAAATCTTTGTGCAAACAGACAACAGGAGACACTCTCATGTTATATTGTCATTTAAACTGCTAAAGGGACATTGATCACCAGCTGCCTGTGGGAAGCATTGCAGAAGATAAATGGAATCAGGCAAACACAAGCATCCCTCTTTGCCTCTTTTCATAGTACCCAGTGCATTTTATAAACAAAGTCAGCTGTTTGTATTAATCCATTAATAAGGGTAATATTATTATTTTTTAAATCAACTTTCAAATATATATCCAGTTTTATTTATTATTGGTATGCATTCTTTTACAAGGTAGAATATGTAGCAGGAAAAGTTTTCTTCAGTACCAGTGTTGAACTGAGTATGTTGAAGAAATTAAAGTCGGCTGAAAGATTATTTTTGCTGCTGAAGAAATGTCCTCCACTCTCCTTCTGTGGGAATAAAGGTAAGAGTCTTCTATGATCTTGTGTTCCTCTCTTTGTTAAAAGAATGCATTAATTTTCAGTTAGGTGCTTCATTCCCAACTACTTTTCAGGTATGATGCTTGTTTAGTGCTTTGCATGCAAAATAATAATGTCTAGGCTTCATTTACTAAGTAGATAGTCATGAAATTAAAATGTTGCTTGGGATGCCTTGGAAGGAACATACAGTACTCTTTTGGATTTGTGAGCTCCAGTACAAAATCTACCTCTTCAGAAAGTAGTTTCTTTCTGAGGATTTTGAAAAGGGTTATCAAAAGTTTTGGAAGAAGAGAATGAAGAAGACATTCTATTTTCTTCTGAACAGATTAATACCAATTTCTTTCAACTAGCATTTTAAAATTAAGTGATCATTCTAATTCAGGGGGGACGTATTCTCATTCATTTTGCTCTGGATTTTAGTTTAAATTGGCTTAAAAACTGTTGCTACACAAAAGTTTTTTTGTGTATTATTTTAATTAGGAGGCATACAGGCATGCCGGTGAATTTATCAAATTTACAAAGAAAGAAGTTGGTTAGTTACATAACTGAAGCATTAAAAGTATGGAATCTAAGTGGAAATCTTGTCTTTTGTTTTTAGATGTTAAGTGATATGATAAAATGTATGGTCGTTTACTATTTTGTTTCAGGAAGAATAATCCAGGATGTTCAAAAACTTGTAAATGAGGATCCCAGATGTTGGCTTCATACAATTGCTGTCTGGAGAAGTCTTTACGATCAGGTGGCAAAGCAACTAAACTTCTATCAAGAATACCCAGATTCCAAAAAACAGAAATTGGAAGAGGAAAAACATATTGAAAATGAAAAGCAAAAAACGCAAATAATATTAGAGACAGATACTATTAAAAATCAAATTGAAGATCAGCAAAAATGTGATACACACAATGTTTGTAAAGACATTTTATTGCCTCAGAGCAGACTTTTTCTAGAAAACACTCCTGAACTTATCCAAGACCAAACTATTGTTTGTGATAGTTATTTTAGTTTCAGAGTATCATGTCGTTGTAGTGGAATACTTGCAAAATTATTTACTGCCCAGGTATGTAAAAGACTCTTCATTTGAAAGCTCAGGAGCTGCTAAGCTTCATGAAAATTGAAGGGTAATATGTAGGGAACAAATTGATGTATTTAGAATCTAAATCTCTTACAATTCTATAGGCCAAAAAGTATCCACGATATGCTGTGTTTTCCAGATTTTATTCTTTTTAAACATGCTAATTCACAATGTTAATTCTCTGCAATTATATATGTGACAAGCTATTCTTGTGTTTAAGAGTATATTCAACTGCACAATGGAAATGGCTGCCAATTCATTGTACATACAGTTTACATATTCTATTGCAGACATGTCAAACACAAGGCCCAGGGGCTGGATGCGGCCCGCAAAGTGGTTTCATGTGGCCCGCGAAGCCATCCTGGAAACAGGGAACGGCCCCCGCTGCCTTGGCCCTGGCCCAGGCCAGTGGGAGCCAATGTACAATTTTGTGGTGGCCATCTTGGCACTTGCCCCGGTCCCACTCCCTTCTGCCAGAGACCCTCAGATCTGTCCCACTCCTGCCCAGGCCCCCATAGGCACCCTTGATGCGAATGATGTAGAACTGGCCACGCCCACCCAGTAGGCCACACCCACTCCATCCACGCCTACCCAGTAGGCTGCACCCACTCTGGCCACACACACCCGCCCCCCCCCCCCCCCAGAGCAACTGCAATGCTGATGCGGCCCTCAGTGAAATTGAGTTTGACACCCCTGTTCTATTGCATGGAAAAATACATTTATTACATTCAAAATAACATTTTTTTAAAAAAAAAAACACCTTATCAACCACATTTAGAACCAGCAACTCTGTCAGCAAGCAACACAGTCTCATAATGAAACATTACATGACTGTCACTTTTAACTTCCTGCTGCCTTTCCCATTGACTATTTGTCCTGAAGCCAACTGTGAAGCATACAAATTACCATGAGATGCTACAACAATTATAAATGTATAATGGTTGACAAGCACCCAAATCCGGATCATATGACCATGGGGATGCTGCAATGGCCACAACCTTGAGGACCAGTTTTGAATCTCTTTTTAGTTCTGTTGTAACTTCAAAAATAGTTGAACAAGTGGTCAGTAAACAAGGACTACCTGTACATCCATTTGAAAATTGCTATCAAAACAGTTAATTTTCTTAATAATTGTACTCTCTCTAGATTATTCTGGAATTGTCAGAAAGAATATTTAATTTACTCTTTATGCATAATTCATAATTATATTTAGTGAATGACAGCAACATAGACAAAATAGCACTGCTTGAAGGTGGTGGACATTTTGTGTTCTTAAAAGCTAAGCAGCTGTAACTTACTCTTCTATGCCATCTTTTGAAATTCCTCTTAATTGTCAAAAAGAGATGGAGGACAAATTAAATGTCAGTACTATCATTTTGAAATCTTTCCCAGTGTGTGTGTGTGTGTGTATGTGTGTGTACACATAAAATATAAAATAAAAATAACTTGCTAGATGTTTTGCTGTCAGAGCTTTTTTTAAAAAAAAAACCCCTTTCATAACAAGATAAACTGAAATAAAAGTAATTGAACTTGGATGGCTTGATTTCAGTAAACATGCATAAAGTAGGGATATAAAATACGTCTTATGGCTTCTATAATATTCAGCATAACTATTTTCTTTGCTGTTTCCTATTCTAAGAATCTGCATAATATGCTACCTACCCAAATAATTCTCATGTCTGATTTGTAATTGTTTTTTCAGGAATTGGGAAAAATTATCGGAATAGCTCTTATGAAGAATTTTGGATGGAAAGCAAATCTTAGAAATCCTGATTTAGAGGTAATAATCCAAGTTGAATTGTTAGAAGGTTTGGGCTTTGCCTTCTTCAGATATCAAATAGTCTCTGAAATATGACTGGAGGATATTTTTATATGTATTCTTGTTAATAAAAATGAAATCTTATGTTACACTTGTAGAATTTAGCTTCCTTATATTTTGATATCTATACGTTCCTGTGAAAACAATCAATAGCCTATCTGTAGTGGGGAAGTATTGCTGTCTTGTTTCATTGTGAACAGTCATAGCCTGAAGCAAGGGTTCTCTCCCAGATTAATCCCATATAGATCTACTCAGAAATAAATTTTAAATGATTTTTGTAGGGTTTATTCCTCAAGAAGTGGGTATAGAATTGCAGATCCAGTATACTAAAGACACCCTATGGATAGATATAATCCCATCCAAGCTTTTTTAGTTAAAAAAAACCCTGCGAGTTCCTAGTTGCAACATAACCTGTCTAAATTATCATCAGGTAAAAGAAAAGGAGATTTGGAATTTAAATAAAAAGTTTGCATTTGCTGTTTGGGAGTAATAACAAAAAATACCATAAAAATCATCTGCTTCAGGTGATTGAGAAAATATGCTGCTTTATGTTCATAAAAGACGGCCATCCAGTCTTTTTAAAAATATTTATATTTTCTGACGCAAAGAAAAGGAAATTAAATATTCCTGCAAAGCAGTATAAGAGAGGCATGACAAAAATCAGAAGGGGAGGAATCTTAAACATAAAAAAGATGTAAGAGAATAGACAAAATATATTATTGAGAAAAAGCACAAGGTGTGGACACTTCAACAAATTTTATTAAACTGTAAAATTAGAGAAAGAATAAAAAATAAGAGTGCAATTTTTTGAAAATGTTAAAAGAAATATAAACTTATTAGAGAGGAAAACCTTTGAACCTAATCATGACTGAAATCTGAAAAAATTACAGAAATCTAAAAACAAAAGACAAAGTAAACAGTGCTCTAAAAATAAGGGATATAGATAGAATTTGAAAAGTGGCAAACCTTAAAGATGACATCTAGACAATACTTCCACATTACCTGTAGGATCTACCATTTAATTCATTGAACTTACTTTCACTGTCCTGAATTCTGGTGGAGGATATTCTGTATGGGCAGCAAGATTTGCAAATAGTTTGTAGCTGTCACTAGTAGAACATTTCTACCAGTTAAATTCTTTGGACAAAAATATTTGGCCAGTATTAATTTGGGGTTTTGTACATTTTTCTCTTCTTCTTGGATATCTCTATTACTTGTGTTTGCACTGATCGAAAAGCAGAAGTAGTGATCTCAATTTTGGACTATGTCTTATACAGTATCCCTATATTATATTTCATATAGATATAATACTTATATGCATTTAAGGATGAGATTGCTTTTTAGAATAAATAAATATTGAAAAAGTGACTGAGATATCCTATTATTTTTTCAATTTGCAAGTAATTCTTTATTGTAAATTTTCATTCCCTTACAGATCTTTGTGCATCTAAATGATATTTATTCTGTGATTGGGATCCCTCTATTCAGGTAGATGACATTACAAATTATTATTCCTTATTTCTCTATAAATACTGACTTTTCTAATAGAAAACATTCTCCTCCCAAAAAAACATTCTCCTCCCCCCAAAAATGATTGGAATGGTTTTTGTTCTCAATAATTAAATGTTTAACATGGTAAAACTGTAGCATTCTGTGTCATATAAAAGTATAAATAACTTGGAACGTCGTACTGGAAACATTTATACATTTATATTTCCCTAGGGTATGTAATGTTTTATTCATTGACATTTAAACATAGATTGGTAGAGGTGGGAACAATTGTCAACATGTAAAAAAAGCAGTGTCAGAATTTGCAGAAATAAATTTAAAAAGAAGTCCCCCTCAAAGAACTGTTTAAAACACTGCAAATATAGATTGTGTGTACTCAGTATCCATATAACTCTAAGTGGCTGTTGGAATTTAGAGACATAGAATGTGGTATATTGGGGGAAAGATGAGAATGAAAGGAAACAATCCTGAAGAGAAGCATGTCATTATTGACACATTGTGTTAGAATTGTACACGTGCATTGAATGTTCTTATTTTTATTTAAGTGTATCTATTATTTGCAGACTTCCCTTGGCAAGTCGGGCATATATTAAAACTGCTGGATTGCGATCTACCATTGCTTGGGCTATGACATCGCTTGCTGAAATCAAGGTAATGAGCAAAATAACCATTCTGGTTACTAAGAAACTATTATGGGAATTTTATAGGAGCATTTGAAGCATTTAAAGTAGGTGAGAGCTGCATGGTTTGCAATTTCCTTAAATTCAGTGGGACTTAATTTCTTAATAAATATGCAAAAATGTGTGAGCAGTTCAAATCAAATTAAATTGTCTATTGTCTCTTGGTTTTTAATCTCCATGGTGTATACAGAGATAATTACTATAAAATTGCTATAAGGATTATTGAAAGATATGAAAAGGAAGGTAAATATTCAAATGTGCTGTGTAGATGGAGAAAAGTATTAACTGTCAAATCTAACTTTTGCTTGCTTAATTTATAGTATATGCTGTACATTTTTTCAAACCAAGGAGCAATTACCTATAACGTATAGATTGTATTGAATTGGTTTTTCCCTCTCTTTTCAGGCTGGGGCATTTGTATTGGATCCTATGTGTGGTCTAGGTACAATACTTTTGGAAGCTGCAACTGAATGGCCTGTAAGTTCTGTTCTTTTAAGAAATACCTTTTTTTTGTTACTTTGCATTACAAGTCCTAGTGTCCTCACAATTAAAATCAATCTTCTAAATGGTTCTTAGAAATTTTGTGGGATTCAGCTTAAAGTACTAATCCAAGTAATTAGTATTTGTATTACTAACTGTGTTATAAGAAAACTATTATTCTTTCAACTATTGCTCTTTGTTCATAAATTTCCTAAAAAGCTTCCAGGTTAACTTAATTATTAGCTTACCAGTTACCAGTAGACAAATTTACAATTTTTGAAGTCAGAGTATCAAACTTCCTTTGAACTTACATCTCCTGAGATCTTAGACACATCTTTATTTTTTGAGTCAAAGAGTCTTTTTGTTTTTTGTTCAAAAACAAGCTTATTACAAATTAAAACAGGCTGAAATAACATCTAAAGATTACAGATATAAATTAACAGATTTCTATGTGTGGACTATAAAATTTCCTTGCTGGAAATAAAAGACATAAAAAAGAATAAGTTTTTCTTTCAGAATAATTGAAATAATTTATATTAAGTTTCCTTTTATATTTATATTATCTGCAGATAAATATAGGTGGATAACTTGACTTAACATTTTCTTAAGTATGACATAATCTGTGTCAAAAAAATTTTATCAGTATATAATCATTTTGAGCCAGATTAATCATTTTCTCAGTTTTTGAGATCTTTCGCGAAACACAATGAATTAATGACTTTGACTATTTCCAATTTATGATCCTTCCTATCTCTGGTTTCACTGATACTGTGAAAAGCAAACAAAAGTTAAAAGCTTTCATTTCATGTAGCCTATGTGATCAGATTTTATTTCCTTGGAGATTTGTGTTATTTTGTTGTGAGAATTGCCCTATATTCCTTTCTCTGAAGAGAAGTTGCAAAAAGCAGCTGCTTGGGAAGAAGTTTCTCTGTTTTATTTGGGTCAGAAACACCACAAAGCTTGTTTATGGGACAGCTGACATCAGATTGGCACATCAGCAAGATTTATATACATTTTTTAGCGTTTGGTGTGAGTGAAATATATTTTTATGACCATAAGAAAGCAAGAAAATAAAGCTTTTATGGCTAGAGGAAATATTTGGTTTGTTATCTTCTTTATCAGCAAAGATATTCCTGGCCAGGCAGAAGTGCTAAATTCCTGGGCCTTTTCAGATTCCTGCCTGTCAGTGATCTATTGCCTTTAAGGAAACATATTTTATGAGTGGTGACAGGTTTCTCTGACTCCAGACCAGAAGGCTGTTAAGGGAGGAGGGGGGGGGGGGGAGATCAAAGGCTTTTTAACTTCTATCAATTTGATTCACAGTATTTTCTTCCAACTCACATTTTCCAACACTGACTGGCTATTTTAATAATGTGTAAAATTTGTTATTAATATAATTGTTTGTTTCCTCTACAGAATGTGTATTATTTTGGGTCGGATATAAGTGATTCACAGTTACAAGGAGCCTACTCAAATATTAGAGATGCAAGCCTGATAGATAAAATTGAACTATTTAAATCTTCTGTGACTGGTAAATATTAACAAGAGCACTTTGTTAAATTACATAAAAATTAAACAATGTATATATTGTTATATGTATTAGATATATGTATTGCTTTATTCTTTATTGGCTTGCAAAGGTTTTCTTTATAGATCTAGAATGTAAGTAACAAACTCTCTTTTTCCCAGAATTGTTTTGTGCAGTTTAAGCACTTGATTTAATATGTGTGTCTTTAGAATTAAGGTTCAGAACTGATCCTAGTGTTTTTTCAGATAATTAAAGAGGATTTATGATAACAAATTCTGATCAAGATATGAGCAGGTCTTATTTTTGCCTTTGATAAGCAAGTTTTTTATGTTAACATCTCTTTGACTAGGGACAACAATGGAATAGTATACAGTACATGGGAAGTGAGGTGTTGCCCAAATTTACTTTATGAATTGTTATCTGTCTCCATTTTGCCTAGCAATTATTAATGCTAATTGTGAAGATGTTAATTTGAAAAGAAGACAGTTTGGTTCCAGAAATGTTTCCTGTTATTCTGTTCTGGGAATTCCTAACAATGCTGATTGTTCTGCCTACGTGATACTTCCAGCAACAAAATGAAGAAATACTATGTTTGTTAATTCCCACTGTAGCCCTGTAGAAATTTGGGGGACCCTATGAAACTCTACACAAAGAGGAATTGGCAAAAATTGAGTCCCATACAGTATACTGTCTCTGCCCCATGTATAAATGGGAGTTCTAGAATAATAGGAGCCCAAATAGAATCCAGGACAGTATTCCTAACATAAAATCCCTTCTCAATGAAATTCCATGCGTGGGCCAGTAAACTTTGAGGCTTTTAAAGGACCTCTTAAAAATAGAATTATGTAAATGTTCCATGTTTTCTTTTTATATTAAAATATTGTTACCCAGACTAGGTAGAGATTTCTAGGGGGTACTATAATTACCAATCTTCTTTTTACGATATGGACTTTCTTGAACTTGTTTTCAGTCTGTTCATTCAAGAAAATATTATATAAAGATTTATTTGTACATCTTTGAATTTCATATTCATAAGCCTACACATTGTATACAGTAAGCCAGATTATGAGCTAAAGGCTAAGTTCTCTGTTGCAGGCCATCTGACCCTTGATCATCTGGCTTTTTGATGTCCTGGAAGAAAGTGGCAATATCTCATTTGGAGTGAGCTACAATACATGGCCATATTGGGACCCGTATGGGCCAAAGATTTATGTTTTGCTGTTAGTTTACTTAAACCGTATCCACACGTCCCTTAATTAATCTTGTTTCTTCCATCATAATATGTTTTGTTAGATTTATTATTTTACATTTCTACCTTATAATTGCAGTTCCCTTTGAGAACTGTCAGTATGTACTGTATGATATTTTGCAATGGGCTGTTTCTTCCTGGTTATATTTTTTTAGTTCCTTCCAAATGCAGAAGAGTGTAATGATTAAAACTTTCATTCCCAGGCAATCTTTTAAGTTATAATTTTGTCTTAGTTCAAGTGCTTTTAAGTGTGCTTTATCTCCGCAGGATTACCTTTCCTGTCAGAAAGTATTGATGTCATTTTGACAGACATTCCATTTGGAAAAAAGTTCAAAATAACAGAAGACATGAAGTTCCTTCCCAGAGTTTTTCAAGAACTTGAAAGGTAAATGAATCAAATTATCTGGAATTCAAGAATTAATATTAAAAGGAGATTTGGTGTATGACATGTAGGCAAATACACATCATAACTAGATAGAAACTTGATTGTAATTACCTATCTTCCTACATAAGTAATGGTACTGATAAAGGAGAATATTTGAAGCTTAGAGTCAAATGAGGAGTCCTTGGTACTCTCTGAGCTTTGTTGTTTATTTCAAGACGTTTCATTGGTTTCTAATCAGTGGTTGGAGCACTGGTGATATTACTTAGTTTAGTAATGGAACATCTGCAACAAACAACCAAGCTCAGAGAGCACCAAGGATCCGTCATAAATAATAGTTTCAAATAGGACAAAAAATACATCGTTGATAAATGCTAACAAGCTCAGAAGGGCTGAATCTGATCAAATTGTATACCAGGACTCTGCTGATGCTGGTAGTAAACGAGAAGTCACAGGGTACATACTGAGAAATATATAGTAAAGGAAATATTCCTGACAAAGTTAATTCGGCTCAGATGGGGGGGAAATGTTTTCAAAATATGCTTGTTATTTTCCCCAGGACATTGACTGTAGCCTTAAGCTCCCCAAGTATAGGATACTGTTATGTATATATATTCCTGAAACTATTACGTTTAGAAAAGCATCCAGTTGTACAGTTCTTCTTACTTTTACTGTAAAGCTTATAGTACTCTCTTGAAATCTCTTCCTCTCCAATCTCTGCCCTGCAAGAGGCAAAGGGTCAGACAAAAGAGAGATTACCTACAGAAATTCTTCCCCTCCCCCATAGAACGAAGAGATTAGAAAGGAAGAATGAGTGCTGTAAACTATCTGCATAGTGTGCCTGCAGCTGCCAGTGCAATCACATTGTTTTCAATGTGTAGAGGAGCAAACAGCTTACTATCTTGCAATCTCTTCCTCTCAAATATCTATTTTACAAGGGGAGAGAAAATAGTTCAGGCATAGAACAACATGTACTGCCTAGTGGCAATCACAATACTGAGGGATGCTGAACAAGTTGTAAATGGGTGTAAATTGGCCATAACGTTATTTTTTCAGCACCATCAGTAACTTCAGGCACTGAAAATGTGATCAATCAGGTTTTTTAAATGCCAAGATCCATCAAAATTTGGGGGGTTCTTCTATTGGATTGCAGTTGAAAGTCAAGAAATCCTCATTGACATTTATTTCAGCTGGATAATAATGGATACAGTAATTAAATATAATAAAATACTGGCCTATATGGAAAAAACCCCGGAATTTTATGAAACCTAATATTAAAATCTATTTACCAAGATGTTTACTGAGAGGCTTTCTCTTGGTGTATCTTACCATATAGAAAGGTAAAGATAAAAATAGAGAGATTGTAAACTACTAGATACTCTGAAAGTTTCTTATAAAATGATAAATATTATTGAAACCAAGCAATAATATCTTAGTTAACTACTCTCTATTGTTTTTCAGGGTGCTTTGTTTTGGAGGGACTGTTGTACTGTTACTTAGTCAAGAACTCTATAAATGTATTTCTAATGGTATTGCCCATGGCTGTCAGACTGAGAGATCCATCTTTGCAGAATCTTCTACTGATTGCAGACAAAGTGATTTGATATCAGTTGAACAAGATACCAAAGAAGAAAGTATTAGTTGTACTGTTTCCCCCTCATCTCAAGATGCAAGGAAAGAACACCTCAGTTATAAAAAGGCAGATCTTGGTTCTCTGGTGTTCATAGAATCCTTTGAAGTTAGTCTTGGCAAGACAAATGCATTCATATGCAAGTACAAGAAAATAACCTGAAAGATCTAGAGGTAGCAACAACAGGCAGGTATGTATAAAACACACATACATTGATGGAGTTGACAGTCAAAATTGCATAGCAATCACAGCACAAGATCCCAAAAGATTATATTAGGATCTGTAACTGAAAACACTGGACTATATTTAGATGTTTGAGCTGAAAGAGGCATGGTTGCTAGTCCAGATAATTAACAGTGAGATAACTTTAAGGGACATTATTTCTCAAGGCAGTCCTCAAGATAACCAATATGATGCACTCTCTGAAGTAGCTGATAATAGTCTTGCATCAATTCTTGGCATTTACACATCACCATTTTGCAATATTAGGCAAGAATCATGCTTGGTGTGTCATAGATAGTGCATTGTACTATATTATATTATATTCTGCCTTCATGGGAATCATGCAGAATATAAGGGTTCTTTGGGAAGATATTCAGAAGAAACTTCTGAAATACCTTTCCTGGATGCCAGTTCATTGCTGAGCATTATTCAGAGCATTGGCAGTTGCTTTTCATAATCTTGTGTTATGGATCCAGGAGATGAGGATTCCCCATTAATGGAAGTCCTTTTTATATTAATTGTTATTAGACTGCAGATTTGTGCCTGAAAATCATAATGAATCCTGCTTCAGAAATCAGTGCTTTGCAGCAAGAAAATCCAAACTCTGTTTTTAGTATTTTTCCTAGAATTGTATGGGAAGTCTCTGAAAATACAAAACTTCAAAAAAAAAAACCTGAATCTAAGAAGATTAATTTTGCATCCATGTATTTTTGCACACTGAGAACATTTTGGAGGACAGGTCTCTTTTTACACAAATTCATAATTTAACTAGTAATAAAAGGTACATTTATTTGTATTCAGAAAGAAAGATAGAAGCAAAAAGAAAATATGCAAACATTCCTAATAAAATAAAGACATTTGGTCTAATTCAAGTAATTATATAACCTACTTGGTGGATTAGAAATTATATAAGTGCCTGTCCCCAGTCCTGGTGGAAGATACAGAGATCATCCCTGATCGATACTGCCGCCAGCTCAGAAATGCGCCTGGCTGACGTGATAGCGACCAGGAAGGTGACCTTGTGAAACAAGGGGCGTAGAGCAGGGCTTTTCAACCTTTTCACTCATTGTACCACTTTTAGGATAAGGCAATATCCGAGTACCACCAGTCGCCCAGCAAGGTATCAAAAACTTGACCAAAAAAAAGAGGAAAAAAATGATAAAGTACAGGTAGTCCTCGACTTACAACAATTCGCTTAGTGACTGTTCGAAGTTACAACGGCACTGAAAAAGTGACTTATGACCATTTTCACATGTTGCAGCATCCCCAGAGTCATGTGATTTACATTCGGATGCTTGGCAACTGAGTCATACTTATGACGGTCACAGTGTCCCAGGGTCATTTGATCACCTTTTGCAACTTTTTGACAAGCGAAGTCAATGGCCGGGAGGGGGGGTGGCCAGCTCATCACTCAGGTTGCAGGGTGCCTGTGTGGGTGGAGGGAATCTCTGGTGAAGGGGAGTGGGACTGCCCTCCTTCCCTCCCTCTCTCCCAAACTTTTCAATAGGCATGTTACTGTTTATACTCTGAAGGGCAAATACAATATGCTGCTTGCTAAGTGAAGCCCCAGGATAAGCGGTCTACATGTGTGTGTGTGTGTGTGTGTGTGTGAGAAAGGGAGAGGGAGAATGTACTGTATATGAATATGCATATATATTTGTGCATATATTCTTATTTTACAGTGCTATTCCAAGTTCATATTATCCAGATTGCTTATTTAAATTTCATCTAGCATATAGCTTGTGTAGCTTCCCTGGGTAGCCGAGGGAAGATTCAAGCTGCAGCGTTAATGTAGCTAAATTGAGGGGTGAGGGAAAGGAACTGATTAAGAAAATTCCCCAGAGCCCTGGGGAAGGAGAAGGGAAGAAATTACACCCCCCTCAGCCCTCAACAGCCGATCTGAAGCAGCGCTGGTCCCAGCACTGCTGAGAAGGCTGTGGAGGTGAGAGGAACAGAGAAAAAAATCCATCAATGTTAATTAAGACTGTGGAGGTGAGAGGAGAGGGGGAAAAATCCACTAATGGGAGAACTCAATACCTGTCAGAACTTGAGAGCCAAACCTGACACGTCTTTTAGGGCTGGAGACCAAGTCAAGACTGGGGTTCTCCTAGCCCAACAGGGGGTGCAACAAGTTTGGCTGACATGGTCTCAAGGGCAGGAAGACAGAGCAAACCCATTGGTGGATTCTCCATCTCCTGTGCTGGAGAATGAATCTGATATGTAAAGGTACTTTTTTCCCCCTTTTGCGTGGCACCATGGAATTGCTGCAAAGGAAGGCAAGAGCTGATGTAGGGTCTACTTCAGATAGATAGTTTTGTCACTAAGAAATCCAGGAATGCATTTAGAAAATTGAAACAGGTATAACCAAATAAAGAATAACATTTGTAATTTATGGCTGTATTATTTATAAGAAGAGCCATATCCAAGTCACTTGTTCAGGAATTTTATTAACAGATAATATGCCATTCTTTTTAGACAAAAAAACCCCCTGAAACACATAATATGCATTGTTTCCAATAATGCCAATGCTGTAATCCATTTTATACATTTTATCTTTTTTATATATGGCGTTGGGTTGTATAACTTTTCCTACATAAAGTGGGAAGTCATTCTACTCTAACTCCTATTTCTGTTTCTTCTAAAAACAAATGATTCATTCATTTCTTGCACAGGAAATCTTTCAAACCTCTCCCATACATCATTTTGGTAACTACTAAAATAATTATAATAATTAATAAAGACTAAGTATCACCTAACAAGTCAAAAATAATATAAAATATAATTAAAATAAGGAAAAATTCTTACCAACTAGATAATATGGCAGTAGTGTTTTTGCTGTTTTAACCTTACGTACCAAGTTTTCTTTTTAAAGCCATTTATATAGCCACTCAGATGAACCTCATGACTCTGGACAGCAAATGGCAATTGAAACATGAACACAGTTTTCTTGTTCAAGTAGAAATAGTTTCATTTCATTTGTGCATATACATTGTGCTAAATTACCATCAGTTCTACAACAGTTTTGCTGTCTGAACTTGATATATCAGCCACCATGGAAGCATAAATATCTTTTGTGTTTCCTGGCTGCTAAGTCAGTGTTCAGTATTTAAAGGATTTGGGTTTTGTCTGTGCTTGGATTCTGTGTTAAGCTCCCTTATATATCTTCCTGTTGCCTTATAAACAAAAAAAGGTATCTCATAAAAAAGTCATACAGAAGAATCTATGATAGATTTTAGATGGCTAATCTTTGTCCTGCTAATAAATGGGTGAGTGGTACAAAGGCATCCTGCTGCAACTATAAATCCTAAACTGCACCATGCACAGAATATAGACCAGCTGTATCCATGTTCAACATCATCAGGCAGACCATAGATAATTTTGGGAAGGCGGTTTAGGTCAAAGGATATACTTGTTGCATAAGTACAGAGGGAAATAGTGCAAAAGATGCCTACAAAGGAAAGATTACAACAGTTAACAAGATGCATAGAAATAGGAATTTCCAAAATAAATCATCTGGATACACATAAGCTTTTAACTGTGTGATAAGAATTTGAACTTACAGGAATGGCCATTGATACAATGTCATGCAATTTATCTGTCATCAGAATTGTATCAGGAAAAACAATTGACATTTAAATTACATTATTATAAAGCAGATATGTCCTATTGTAATAATAATTTTGAAACAAGATAGGTGGCAAACAATAAAAAAAATTACTACTTTAAAATAGCCATGATCCAAATTTTTATTTCTGAGTTGTATAAAGGATATTCAAGGCAAAGAAGCAGAATTACATTTTTCCATATCTCCAAAAAGAAGTTTTAGTCTCAAGATTCCAAGAACTGGGACTGAATCCCAAGATCTTTCTTAATCTGCAAAAGGAACTGTGCTTCTTCAGTGCCCAATTTTTTATCAGTATTTTATATTTTAAATTATTTTCATATATTTGAAATTAAGGTCCTTTTGTTGCTGTCATCTTCGATAGATAGATATTGTGGTTGGAATTCCTTTTTTTAATAATTTTAATTTTATTTATTTATTGAACTATTTTGATATTTCTGTATTCTAGTGTTACCTCCCCTAATTTAATACTTCCTTAATTCGTAGGTTTGAGAGCCAAATCAGATGAATCATATTTTTTTCTAAACCGATACCTTGGATGCCAGTGAGGCAAACCTCAGCACTAGCAGGCTCTTTAATTGCAGAGTCTACTGCTGAGAATCTGGACTGGAACTAGACACAGTGGTTACCAGCCCCTCAGAATCCAGAGGTAACTGATGAAAGGTCATAAACTAGCACAGCAAAGAAATCAATAGCTGCCTAGGGGAGGTTTATGAAAAGAGCTGATTTGATATTGGATTGCTTGATACATTATATGTATAGTGTGACAATCTGGCTCTTGTAACATTAAGGAAAGACTACAGCCAGATTTACACTTTTATAACTTGGCATAGTAGCAAATGGACTGATTTACAAGTGCTCACCTTAATTCTCTGCCAGAGTCTTGTGAAAATATGGACTGTCTAACCCAGGGGTAGTCAACCTTGGCGCTTTTATGACTCGTGCTGGCTCAGGAATTCTGGGAGTTGAAGTCCACGAGTCATAAAAGAGCCAAGGTTGACTACCCCTGATAATAGTTCTTGTACTTAGAGCTGATGAGTTTTGCATAAAAGAGCCAAGGTTGTCTACCCCTGCTCTAACCTTTCATATTGCTTAACGTCAAGAAAACAAGATTTGATGGTATGTACATATAAGGCATTTTGATTCTGAAAGATCTGTAGAAATCTACAAATAATGCATGTCTCATTTCTAAATTGCTGAGGCATAGTTCAAATTTAGGCTTTCTTGATAATAGTTAAAGCAGAATTTGGATTTCAATGCACCAACATTTACTGACATGTCTAGCCTAGTAATAGTAGCCTGTTTGGCTTAGGTTTTGCTTAGTGTAGAATGTACAAAATTTTTACTTCTGGTAGTTATTTTCTGGTACTACTGGTCTCTTGAAATTAACGTCAGCTCTGAACCATTACACAGGCTTATGTAACCTGGTAATCTCAAATCAGCCTTTAGGATTTTTAAATACAGTGCAAAATATGGAAAGTAAATAACTCAAAGTATCCTTCTCCCAACTCTTGCAGAATTTACTGCAAGAGAAAGAATCTACCCCACAAAGGGGACAGTAGCAAAATAAATGAATAAATATGCCATCGTAATGGCTTTTCATGGACTATCCATAAATGTTCTCTGTTGAACTTTCACTTTCAAGTAGATGATCAAATTATTTTGGCACCTGAAGTTAAAAAGCCCCCCAAGTTAGCCTTCCCAGCTCTAGCAGTAAAACTAGAATAACTACATTTAAAAGCCAACAGACAAAAAAGAAAGTGTACCTGACATGAGGAAAAGAAGACCAGCAACATGCTGTGTGAGGCTTTTCTCCCAAAAGAAGCCAACTGCAATTACAATGCACCCACAGAGAAGAACAGCTGCTGCCATCCCAAGGAAACCTGCTGTAATTCTTCTTAGGTCTAGTCTCATAAGGGAAGGAAGTGATAAATTATCAGCACACATTAAAATTACATTATAACCTATTCTTATGCGTACACATTCCTAGAAATAAGCTACAGGTAGTACTCAATGACAACAAGGACCAGAACATCCATTGCTAAATGATGTGGTCATTAAATGAGCTATGCCCAACTGCAACCTTTTTTTGTCATGGTCGTTAAGCGAGTCACAGTCATTAAGCAAGTAATGTGCTTATTGTTTCCCCCATTCACTTTGCTTGCCGGAAGACCCCTGAGTCTGTCACGAATGGCAAACCTAAGACCTCAGGATGCTACAGTAGTTACAAATATGGTGTGAGGACTAGTCACAATAGCTCCACTTTCTTCAGCACCATCATTAGTTCAAACAATTGTTAAATGAATGGTAGTTAAGTTGACTACCTGTATGTTAAATGTAATATGACTTTTTTAATTATAAAGAATTGCCAGATCATGGAGCTATTGTTTCTTACCAATTTTAATAAGAAAAAAATGATGGACACATCTTCTGATTTGTTTTTCTTGTAGTAAGTTTTTAAAAACCCTTATTTTTAAAAAATTAACACTGGCTATTTCTATGACCACTTCTACCCCATTTTTGCACCTCGGTTACTAAAAAAAATTATACTATTAAATAGTATACTGTTTGCTATCAAAAAGTTATTCCACCCTGCTCTAAAAGGAAATTTTGCTACATCTATAGTTGTTAAAAGTTTATTTAACAAACTGGCAAGATGGTTATTGCATAGAATGCATATAGAATAGGTAACATTATATACTAATATTTATTTTCACATTTATAACCTGCCCTATATCAATGGATCACATCATACTAGGAAGACCACATGTTTAACCTAAATACACAAGTACTTACGTAACAAGTGCCATTCATCCTGCTGGATAATCTTGGTTAAATTGATAGGGATGTTCCATAAGCGTCGTATTGGTGTGGCAAAGTGATACTTGATTGCTGTACATCTCTGAGCAATACCTTTAGAAAACAGAAATATTTAATGAATAATTCTGAACAGGATCTGGGTGATGACTTTTTTAACATAGAGAAATCCAGGAAAGAGATGCTTCCAAATGAGCCTTTTATTGTGAAATTGAAATGTTTATAAAATAATTGCCTTATTCAAAGAACTTATATAAAGGTAGGGACTACCATCATCTTTCTAATTATAGTCCTGCATTTTCCCACCAATGACTGTAATGCCTGTCTTGGATTTTATCTTTGCTTTTTTGGCGTTAATTTTTGGTTTTTGGAATTTAGATATTTATTATTATATTTTTTATATTAGAACTTGTACACTGCCCAAATTTTACTGGGGCAAGTTATAAATTCTGTAAGTAAGAAAATAAAATCAATAAGACAGTATTGAGACCCAGAAGACAAATTATAATTTATGATTGCATTCATAAAACTTATGCAAATGGTTTAATGGGACATATTACACAATAGTTAATAGTATGTCATAAGCACCCTAACACCATAAGCCATCATTGGGGTTGGACAGTGTTAACTGCTAACTACTAGCCTGTAATTACTGTACTGTAATTTTCTTGCAAAACTAAGTTCCCCAGTCATAAACAGGCCTATTCTAGGAATGCCATCTCCATTTTATTTTTTTAACATTTCACCCAATTCAATATAGAGGGGGAGATATTAAAAAAGGGCAGAAATGACTGACCAGGAGCATTGATAGCAACCTTACAGGTTTGGTTTTTAATTTTTCCTCAAATAGATTAAAAAAACAGTAGTTGAGAAACAAAGATGACCACTTGACTAGGATCCTGAATCACTAACTCCCAGCGCACAGGGATGTATCTCCTGGGATAGCAGCTGGGATCCAGCATATTGTCCAAACATAGTCAATCAAGATCATGTGAAGTGTTAATACCACTTTACAATGCTTTGGTAAGGCCCACTTGGAATACTGCATCCAGTTTTGGTCACCACAATGTAAAAAAGATGTTGAGATTCTAGAAAGAGTGCAGAGAAGAGTAATAAAGATGATTAGGGGACTGGAGGCTAAAACATACAAGGAACAGTTGCTGGAATTGGGTATGTCTAGTTTAATGAAGAGAAGGACACGGGGAGGGGGGGTCATGATAGCAGTGTTCCAATATCTCAGGAGCTGCCACAAAGAAGGAGTCAAGCTATTCTCCAAAGCAGCTGAAGGCAGAACAAGAAGCAACGGGTGGAAACTAACCAAAGAGAGAAGCAACCTAGAACTAAGGAGAAATTTCCTGACAGTTAGAACAATTAATCAGTGGAACCACCTGCCTCCAGAAGCGGTGAATGCTCCAACACTGGAAGTTTTTAAGAAGAGACTGGACAGCCATTTGTCTGAAATGGTATAGGGTGTCTACCCCTGCCCCGCCCCCACCCCGCCTGCCCGCAGGGCCACTCACCGCCTCCAGGGTCCGCCACAGATGGCCCAGACAGCCCAGCAGCGCCATGGCAGCCACGCCCTCTCCCCGCGCCCTGCAGCATCAACTGGGCAGAATCTTGTCTACGCTGCCTGGCTGCCATGTCCTTGGCTGCGCTGCTCCGTGTGGGCCACGCTTGGGGGCGACTCTCCTCCAGGGGGGATGCTGGTGAGGGGGTCGTGGGGGGAGGCAAGGCTGGGGCAATGGCATGTGTGCCCACAGAGGGCTCTGAGTGTGGCCTCTGGCACCCGTGCCATTGGTTCGCCACCACTGATCTAGAGCAAATATATGATTGGTTCTACATTTTAGTTCTGACGCACTAGCTGTGTCTGAAATTCTTAAACTAATTAGAAACCATTAGAAAATGGTTTTGAAATTCTTTTTGTAAGAAACGTATATAAGTTTTGTAATTTTTGTCTTAACAATTTAAGACACATATTGCAATAGATATGGGAAATGTTCTTTTTTAACAAATCAATAGGTTAAGAGTCTTAAATAATGTTATATTAATATTGTATGTTTTGAAAATAAACTAAGTTGACCAAATACTATTTTTCAAATAAATTGGGCCCTTCAGAGAGTGGGCTGTATCTTCTTTATGCTAGAAGTCCAATATGGAAGAAGGGGCTTTTATTTGTATGTTCTGGGCAGCTGTACATTGACACCAGTTTGGTCTAATATTCATCAGGTTGTAAATGGTAAAGAAATTTCATGGTTCCAAGATATGAATATGATGCTGAATTATATTCTGAAATCTGTAGCTCAGGTATACAATGAGGGTGAAGGTTCGTTCTCCGAGCTTGTGGGTTGGTTTCTGATTGTTTCATTACCCAGCTAGGTAACATCTTCAGCAGGATGAACATGAACATCAGCTGGCAGTCAAACGCCACGATCCCAAATCCTTAATCTTTAACCACACTGACACCAAACAGCACCAGTTCGATTGGAGCAACACAAAAATCATCGGCCACATTACCACCCGCCATACTTGTGAGTTCATCGAAACCTGGCACTCCACAAGCAATTCCATCAGCAGAATCATCAACCTACAACCAATGTACGAACCCCTCAGGATCCAGATCAACTGCACAGCCAACCAGAGACAGCACCGACCCTCAACCAACCCACACAAGACTCCCCCCACCAGCAGTTCACCTTCCAATGACCCTGACCGGAAGTAACCTCCCCATCACATGACCCATCACAAGACTCACTGATGACTCACACCTTGCCCATCACAAGACCCACCACAGACCCTCAGTTGACACACCCGCACCTGAAGCCCTTTAAATGTACATTTATACAATTTACTATTGAATAGATTCTTCTAACACTGAAAAATTTGATCACATAAACTTCTTTGTGGTCATATTGTTTAAGTATATAGTATATATTTAGTTGTGTTAAGATATAATGTGATTCTAAATAACTTTTCTTTTTCGTTCTTTGGGGAGATTTCCTGTATTTTATGAGCGCTAAAACTCTAGCTATGCTTATGATACAAAATGTGCTATACAATAATGCATTTTGGTAAGGAAATGTCTTTGAATTTGTGTATTAAAGGCTGCAAGATATTATGCATTGCAAGTCAAAGTCAATAGATCTGAAAATGGCAAGGGCTATTGAAAAGTGGGAGGATAATGGAAATGATTTTCTGTAAAAAAAAAAAAAATTCTCCAAAGGCCACAGAGGATTATAGGAGTTATGTGCCAACACTGTTTAATTAAAAAAAAAAGGTGTTCAGTTGTTATGGCACTATCCTGTAAAAAGAGTATTCAGTTTCAATTTAGGATATTTTGTATCTGAAAAAATAAATATTGCTAATCAGTTAAACAATTTGGTTTAGAAAAATAATTTTTTAATATCTCTGAAAAACAACATCAGTTTCCAGAGCAATTTTTATTTAACCCAGAAATTAAAGCTGGACACCTTAAAAAGCATTTCAATATTGTGTAGTGATTAGGTTCCTTAATTATGGCAGAGAAAGCTACGGTTCAAATTTTCAGTTATCTGTTTGACAGAGTTTAAAAGGCTAAAGTCAAGTAAAGAAGAGAGCCATATTTCTTTCCAGGAAGGATGATAAAATATCATGAAATAATGCTGATTTGGAAATAAATAACATCCATTAGCTTGGGCAATATAAAGAGAAGTCAATGAGGTTGTACTTCATCCTTTCCTTGCCCAATTCAAGACTATCTCAAAGTACTTTTCTCTAAAACTGCTTTTTTCTCCAAAGTATAGGAGAGAATAATATTGCATGTAATAGCTCATCCCTTAAAAGAGAATGCAAGAACATAAAAGACCTGTTAGTCCAGTATTCAACACTTGCATTGATTAAAAAGATACTTTGAGGAAGCCCATAAGCAGGACATGAGCACAGTATAACTCTCTTGTTATATTCACTAAGAGCTTCTTGAAGATAGATTGGTGGAAGTAATACAGAGCCACTGATAACCCTGTCCTTCATGGTAATTCCCTTTAAAACTATCCAAGCCAGTGGCCATCACTACATCTTCATTATAAATTCTACAGCTACATTACTGGCTGCATAAAGTTTGTTTATTCATCTATTACAAAACCTTCTACCCAAGGCCACTTCAATCACATACTCTAATGGCAGGCAATACATGTTATGCATATCAAAAAATATGAATAATAAAGCTGCCAACAGATTCAAAATAACAAGAATATAACACTCATCAATCAGCTCAAGTAAATCTCTTCTTCACCTCAGTCTCCAACTACACATTTAAAAAGCTACATTTTAACAGCTTTTTGAATAAAAGGAGTGAGGATACAAGTCTTACATTTAATGGGAGGATAGTCCATAGGTAGGGACATCTCACAAACAAATGTTTACTTCCCAGTCCCCTTTTATTATACTTCACATGGATGGGGACTTTCATCAGGCCTTCTCCATAGGCAGGGAGATTCTATTTGGAGCAGGTGACCTCAAAGAAAGACAAGGTCAAGTCATGTAGGACCTTAAAGATAATCACAAGCACTTGAGGCTCCCACCACTCAGCATTAATGAATAAGCCTAGGATCTATGTATGCAACGAAATTTCATTTTGATGTATGCCAATTGGTGTACATTCAAAGTGACAATAAAGTTGTTATTATTATTATTATTATTATTAGTAGTAGTAGTAGTATTATCTAGTAGTATGGCAAAGGAAGACAAGCACATCTTCATCTTATTTTTCCACCTTATGTATAATTTTCTACCTCACAATGTTCCTATGCAATTTGTCAGCTAGAACGCTGCAGCCTTTCCTCATAGCAAAGATGTTCCAGTGCCTTCTGAATTTTTTTCAGATATACAATATCTTCTTGAAATTAATGATCAGAATCATGTACACTTTTTCAAGCGTGTTGAATAAATAAACTTTATTTATTCCCTTCCCAATAATCCATTCAGGAATATGGATTATTGGGAATATGCCTTTTAGTTCAACAAGAGTTGCATTCTGAATGAACACTTTAACTGAGCTATCTTCTATCTGCTATAAAGTAAACATCCTTTCCGTATTAAGTGACTGAAACTTTAGAGCTCAC